CTAGACACATAGTCAGATCATCTACAGACACACACAGTCAGATTATTTACAGACACACACAGTCAGATCAGCTACAGACACACACAGTCAGATCATCTACAGACACATAGTCAGATCATCTACAGACACAGTCAGATCATCTACATACACATAGTCAGACCATCTACATACACACACAGATCATCTAGACACACACAGATCATCTACAGACACACACAGTCAGATCATCTACACAGTCAGATCATCTACACACACAGTCAGATCATCTACAGACACATAGTCAGATCAGCTACAGACACACAGTCAGATAATCTACAGACACATAGTCAGATCATCTACAGACACAGTCAAATCATCTACAGACACACACAGATCATCTACAGACACACACAGACAGATCATCTACAGACACACACAGACAGATGATCTACAGACACACACAGATCTTCTACAGACACACACAGTCAGATCACCTACAGACAGACAGTCAGATCATCTACAGACACAGAGACAGATAATTTAGACAACTACAGACATACACAGTCAGGTCAACTACAGACACACACAGTCAGATCATCTACAGACATACACAGTCAGGTCAACTACAGACATACACAGTCAGGTCAACTACAGACACACACACAGTCAGATCATCTACAGACATACACAGTCAGGTCATCTACAGACACACACAGGTCAACTACAGACACACACAGGCAGATCATCTACAGACACACAGTCAGATCATCTACAGACACACACAGTCAGATCATCTACACAGTCAGATCATCTACACACACAGTCAGATCATCTACAGACACATAGTCAGATCAGCTACAGACACAGTAAAATCATCTACAGACACACACAGACGGATCATCTACAGACACACACAGACAGATCATCTACAGACACACACAGATCATCTACAGACACACACAGTCTGATAATCTACAGACACACACAGTCAGATCATCTACACACACACACACAGTCAGATCATCTACAGACACACACACACAGTCAGACCATCTACAGACAGACACACACACACACACACTACAGACACACACACACACACACACACACAGTCAGATC